TTGTTTGAATGAATTTGATAGTAAAATATGAGCGTCATAAAATTTCTTTTCATTTTTCCGTTAAGTAGTATTAAATTAGCTTAAAAGTTTTTTATTATCTTATAAAACACATGTTAAAATGTTCTAAATGCTATCATAATTTACTTAAGTACTCCCCTTGTTTCAATTTATGTGAACCTGTTTGACTGGGCACGGAGTTTAAGAAAAAAATGAAAGACTTTTGAAATTTGTGGTCCTAAACAAGTTAAAATAGAGTCCAGAGTATTTGTGTGGTTATAAAAGCTTCTCATTGAGGGTAGAATTGGAAGTTTAAGCTAAATTGTTTCCGAATTTAAATAGGGGTCATTTTTTTTGGAACGGACCAAAAAAGAAATATGTTCACATAAACTGAAACGGAGGGAGTACAATTTAATGATGAATTAGGGTATTTGTGAGTGAAGCCATGATTAGGATAAGCAATTAACTAAATGAAGAGACCATGATCTTCGTTTACTAGACTGTGACAAGAGACGTGAACTTGCTTTTATAGGCAAATACAATCAGCAAACAAACAAAGGGCTATACAATTGCTTTGAGAAATTTTCTATTAATTTGTTGAGGTTGAAATTGATCACAATAAAGTATGTATTTCTATGCAAAGGAGACGAGAAACAGTACAGGCAATCAAAAAAGCTAATTTTTCTAGATCATTAAGAGAACATTCAGAAAACTTAAAGTTAAAAGTTGTTTACTAATACCTTATTGCAATTTATCAGAAAAATTACAGCGATAAAGAGCCGAGAGACGAAGAGCGAGCCGAAGAAAATTAGCATAGCTTAAATTCCAAATGGAAGAAGACAAATTAAGCTGCAAATACCCCCCCCCCATGTAAACTCAAAGGGAAGCAAAAGAGGTCATTTGACAATTTCAAGTGATATTTGTGAGCAAAATATAAATGGCCAAGTATCAATGCTCCAAACTCTTAAGTTCACACTTCCAACAAGCAAAAAGATTCTAGAAAGAAAAATGGACTAGAAGGTATACTTCTTTCACAATATAATTTCTTAAAGGGTCAAAACTGTCCTTGTACTATACGAAATTGGATAACTTTGTCTGCCGTTAAAAGTTGGTCCCAGATTTGCCCCTACCGTGACCAAAATGGCTCAAATTTGTCCTTTCTGACAAACAGGACTAATTTTTTTTTATTAATATTTTTTTACCCAAATAATATGCCACGTGTCCTAACCTAATAAAAGTGGACCAGATTTATCCTTACACAATTCGTATGGTTCAATTTTGCACTTATACTATGTGTATGATTCAATTTTGCCCTCATCGTTAAATATATGAAACAAGCAACATCATCTATGCAGATCATGTTAATAAATTTTTTCACCTTGCATTGCAATGTATGCTTCATGATAGGTCATTTTAAACTTCTTGTTAAAAGTACACCTCACTAGTCTTTTATTTTCTATTTTCTAGTAAAACCTTTAAGTATATTATGTGTGAATGATGGAGGAAGAGGAGTGTAAATTAGGAAACACATGGTGGCAAACCCGTGGAGAGGTGTTAGTGGTGACGGAGGAGGGAAAATTGAACCATACATATAGTATAAGGGCAAAATTGAAGCATACAAATAGCGTAAGGGTAAATCTGCTCCATTTTGATTTGGTGAGGATACGTGGCATATCATTTGGGCAAAAAAATGTTAGTTAAAAATAAAAAAAAATAAAAATAAGTCAGGTATATTATTTAAAAAGGGCAAATTTGAGCCATTTTGGTCACAGTATGGCAAATCTGGGACCAACTTTTAACAAAGGGTAAAGCTGTCCAATTTTGTAAAGTACAAGGCCAGTTTTGATCCTTCTCCATTTTCACAATACTTCACTCCAGAAATCAACTTCACAAGGTGATATGTGAATTGTAATTTTCACAACATCTAAGCTCCATGTCCCAACAAATTTGTGAATCCGATAACCCAAACACAAACATGTGTAACTTTAGTGCGCATGGATATAAAGGGTCATAATCAATCATATTGAATAAGTGAGATAATCTATTTGTGCACAGAAGAGCTAACACACATAAAATGCATTTCCCATGAATATAACCATAAGGATCTCATTTAAACATAGAGAAGGAAAAAATATCAGCTGTCTGAAATACCCGAAATTCTTCCCTACAACAACGATGTCAAAGGAGTAGGATAAGAGAGCAAATGTAAGCTACCTTTGACAAGTCATACCATAGAGAAAGGCAGAAAATGTTTAACCAAGGAAACTATTTTCGGTGGTTGAATGAATATAATTGTCGACATTGATGTGCCTGAGATGGCTTAAAAACTAGGTGAAGCATAAGTTGGGTACTTCACTTCATTTAGATGGCGTTTTACTGCAGATACCAAAGCACTAAGACATGCGCCTCACCAATGAATGGGCGGTCTTTAAAAGAATATTAATTATTACTCCTTAGTAAGATATGAATGAACTTTTCAGTGATTAAGAATACGATTTTAGGTTCATATCCTAGCGGAGGCAAAAATACTAGGTCATTTCTTCCCATCTGTCCAAATCTTGGAGGACAGAGTTAGCTGGTACTTGTTGCAGGTGGGAGGTAGCAAGTATCCCGTGGGAATAGTCGAGGTGCACGCAAGTTGGCCCAGACACCATGGTTATCCCAAAAAAAAAAAAAAAAAGCTTAATAAAAGAAAACTAGTTACTAAGGGGTCATTTGGTATGAGGTATTAGAAGGTATAAGGGTGGTATACAAATTTAATATCATCTTAATACTCTGTTTGGTTAGCAAATCAGGTATAAGTCATCCCGGTGTTAATTTTAACACTGGGATAACTTATACCTTATAAAAAGTGGGGTAATTAGCACCGGTATAACTTATACCTTCTTCTTAGAAATTATGTAATTGTCATTCTTAATACAACATACCAAACAATGAATAAACAACGATCCCAGCATAACTAATCCCAGCATAACTTATCCCAATATAACTTATACCGGCATAAATAGTATTCCAACCAAACGACCCCTAAAAGTTTAAAATGTATCTTTACATCTAAATCAAAAACTTGGAGTAGTTCTTGAATTTGTTCGACATAATTTGGACATCATATATTTCACTCAATTCAGTTCAAAAAAAATTTACAACTCAAAATGTTTCACTCAGATATAGTTTTCCAATTTTTAAGCAAATTATTATCGTTTATCTTTATAGTTAATCTTTTTCTAGTTTCTTAGATATTTTTTTACATTTTCTTTCATTAGCACCTTTCCTTCCTAAGCTCTCACTTCAATTGTGCTTTGCCGTTAAAGTCCCAATAAATTTTCACACTTTTCTACTAGGTTGGAGAATGTAATAGTAGTAGAGGATGCAAAAGACTTGGATGGGTGCTTAGTGATATCTTGGGTAGTAAAAAGTAAAGTGATGTTTACATGTGGGTAGCAGCTAGTGATATTGAACAATAGAGCCAATTGCAGTAGAAAATGACTCAAAATAATAAGTGTGCTTTCTCCTACTCAACATAAAATATTTGGCTTGAGAAAAACTATTGAGTGTGAGATGAGTTTAAGATGAATAACATGAACTGAGGAGTTGTTGTTGTTGTTGTCGTAGAAAAACTAATTTCACTGGCTTCAAAAGATCAGTACCACACAGAGATAAAACTATTTTTGGTAGTTCTATGCATAGTCAGTATTATAGCCCCATTCACAGCTACTAATAATACAAGACTAAAGACCAGCAAGACAAAACGCCTAGTATAAAAATAAATTGCCCAAGGCTTTCAAATCAGACCAACAGCATATCTTCCCATCATAGCATCTCATAGAGGTTGTGTTTCTTTTGGAAGTATAGGAATGCTTTCATTATCTACAACAAAAGACATCTCCCACTAAATCACCCCAACAATACCACTCTCTGGTAAATACCATTTTGATTTATAATCGAGAAATCTACAGTTTTCAGCTTAAAAACTCATTGGACAGTAGACCCATCCCTCTATCCTTCTCCACTTAAATATCAGGCTCAGTTGTCAACTAGAATTTCGAACTTCCAGACAGGCTCGCTGACTCGCGCTATACTACCTTTGCCAAGGAACCAAAGTCCTGAGGACCCATCAAGTGTAAATATATGCAGCCGACTTAACCATTCTTACTTTTTTTTCCTTATTTACTAGGAGGGATCAATGTTGTATTTCATTTCAACTATTATCAATTATTCCGTAAGTCGTATTTCATTTCTAAGCAAATCAACTTCAGCTCAATAAAGAAACCTTTCTCGTCTGTGAAGTTTATAATCAAACCGTGATGGCACACTTAATTACTCTATTAATCTAATATCACAGCAAACAAACATCACCTTTCAAGGATAATAAGAGGCACCATGTACCATTACAAAAATAAAAAAGACTAAAGACTAAATTCAGCATTTAGAAAAAGTAAATCCGACAATAATTAGTTCGAAATAAAAGGCAGATCAAGCACTCACATGAAAAACGATGCCGTTACGACGAGACCAACTGCAAGCATGAACAACGCTAGGGTTGGGTACAACGACTCAGGAACCGGGCTCGAGATCGGTTTTGCTGATTGAGCCTTTCAAAAAGAAAAAAAACAAAAATCACGAGAACATAAATTCGCTGAAAGCTGTAATGCAATTGACAAAAATGAACCATACCATTTTCGAACAATGAGATCGTCTGAAGACTTTGGTCGATCGGAATTGTGTAACTCTTTTTAGTAGCGAGAGCGCTGAGGAACAATTAAAGTGCTTTGACGACTTGGGAGTATACATAGGTGAATTGAATTTAGGCCGTTTGAGTTGAGATTAATTGGCAGTCCAACCTCCTAAAAAGTCAAAATCGAGGATTTGACCCTCCTTTTCTTTCTTTTTTTCAGGGAATTAAAGTGAGTTCAGGGTCCTTTTAAGAATATTAACAACTTCAGGGTCTAGAACAGAAACTTAATAAAAGGGTTTTAAGACTCATTTAATACTCTTTCGCTTTAGTCAAACTTCGCATTTCTCTCTCTCTCAGCTCTCCACTATCTCCAATTCGTCGAAGGATTTCAGCCTACGAACGTCGTTGTTTTTTAAGGTATTTGAGCATAAATTTGTGTTCTCCATTATTGCATTGCCTTTTGAAGGTCATCTTTTGCGGGGTAGTCAATCACTAACCTGAAGGTTAAAGTTCCAATCTTGAGGAACCCTAATGTGATAAAGTTTCAACTTTTGCCAATTTTTTTAGGGTAATAAAGCTATAATTTGTCGCCTCGTTGTGTTATTTGGAAAGATTTTGGTTGATTATGTTTGTTGTGTTGTTGTCTGGTAGAACGTTAATATTATCTTTTTACGTTTTCTCTAGTTTATTTGAAACTTTTAGCGATGATGTTTTCTCTTCCACAACGCGAATCTTTGAACGAATTTTTGAGTTTAGGTTGTGGTTGCAGTTGTCATGTTTCCTCGACTCAATAAATATACTATAGACCTGTTGTAATTAATTTTCTAATTGTTGTCTCTTAGTGTAATACTATATAACAAGATTGTTTATACTAGGCCGAAAAAGGCATCAAGCAACCTTACCCAGAAAAGAAATTACCTCATTATAATGAAACGTAAATCATATGGGAACCCATCTAATAAAGATAGGAAGAGACCAAAAGTTGTGGATGATGAAAATCTAGCAACGACAATTGGACCCCAAAGTCCAGTTGAAGAAATATTCTAAAAGAGATAATACTATGAGTCAGATCGATGCTTATAACAAGGATGAAGATGAAGTTGTTGAAGTAGATAAAGTTCCTCAATAAGAGGAGGAAGGTGGTGAGGAAGATGAGGGAGGTGATGATGAAGGTAATGTGAATGCAGGTGATGATACCTTAATTGCAGAAATTTAAAAATTCATGTTTCGGTAAATTTATTAAGTTGTCGAATCACTGGAACAAATTCAATGGATAGATGGCCCATTATCTTCTTTTTCATCAAATTAGAGAGCCAAATAATCATGAGTTCTAGTTCCTTGTAGATAAAAAAAATTAGTGTGCTTTAGCATTAACAAGTTTGCATTGATAACAGAGTTGAATTGTAGCTCTTATCCAGCGATAAGAGATATAACAAGGTCTTGAAGAAAGATGAAGATTTTAGCCAAAAATATTAGGGACAACAAGAACATGAAGGTTACATAAGACATGTTAATATCGTTGGTGAAAGGTAGCAGGTTAAGTTTTGATAGAAAGTTAAGGTGTTGTTTGGTGTAATTTCTGCATACCATCCTTACGGCGAAAGACCAATCCAAGGTTGTGGAGATAAAATGTTGTAAGATGGTGGCCTCTTTAGTATTCTTAAGCTTATATCCGTAGGAAAAAGGAATATTTTGACATGACTCTCGACTACTGGAAGAACAAGATAGACATGATCAAACAGTACAAATAACACATTGAAAAAGTTAATGTCACGTAAGCTCTTTATGGCTTCTCCTAGGTATTCATGGTAAGTGTCAATAGGTAGTCGATTATAGAGAATAAGTTAATTATTGTCGTTTTGCAAATTATGTGTGTGATTAATACATTATAGGCCCGGGCAAATGAAGCATTTCCAGCTCTTGAAAATGATGTTGCCAAGTCAAGGGATGTTCATTTGCCTACTCTAAGATGTTGAGATGTCATACATCTAAATTGAGCGAAAGGTGGCCCATTTCAAGTCAAGGGATAGGTTCGGAGGTATGAAATATGCTATTGGTTTCTTGGTTTCATAGTGTAAAATTATTTATCCAAACATATAAGCAAATTGTTAACCTTTTGTGCTTTTGCAGATTGTGCACCCTTACATTATTCCTATAGTGCGAGAGGCGGTAGAGCAGTTTATAAAACATTTAGTGACATATGATGAGGTAAGGAATCTAGCTGGGGATGTTGTGAAGGCTGAATTGAATAGAGTAACTGTCATTATCACACCACAGTGATCTTATAGGAGTTTGAGAAAGGAGGCTTTGAATAATGATGAAAAATCTGATAATATAGGTGGCAGTGCATTATATTTTTCTGCAGAGACATGAAGGGAGAAAATGAGGTAGTGAAGGGTCTTCGAGAGGCTATGTAGGACCAATGTCGGAACCATCCTTAGAGGAAGTATTGTTCAAATCAGTATCAACTGAGGATAAGTTGGTGGATGCTCCAATATGTCAAGGAGGATCGGAATTTATCATAGGATTCTGTCCGGACTGATCAAGAACGAGAGAGGTAAGTAATTTTAGAATGTGTAGCGGTTTTGGTATTTTTTTAAAATGTCATATGCATTTAGGATAGTTATTTACATGCACAATGAAGTCAATTCACCCGTGATCATTGCTACTCGACCTACTCAACGTGCCATCGATGGGAATCTCACTAAGGTTGATCAGCTACAAGATTGTGTTATCAACAAGGAAAATGAAAAGGCTCTCATTGAAAATGTCGATGTTGATCTAAGCTTGGATATGGAAATAGCGAGTGTGGATGAGAATGCAGCTGAATTCTCTAATCTAGTTGTGGATATGGAGATGGAGATTAAGGTCAAGAACTAGGTGGTCCTGAGAAAAACAATAGGTCCATGCACTGCCCGAGGACGACAAGCCAAGTGGTACTAATCTGTATTGATGATGAAGCAAATTGCAATGTCGATAGTGGAGTTAATTCTAGAGTTATTGCTGGTGACAATGCTACAATTGAAGCAACAACAACGTTTGGCAATAAGGTAGATGTCTTAGGCATTGTTGCTGAGATCGAAGAACATGAAGTGTCACGACCCAAATCCCACCAGGCATGATGACACATAATTCAACCTATTAGGAGAACCATCCAACATATGAATAAACCATAACATGAGATAATATATTAATAAGAAGCAAAAGAATGAAATTTTATTACAAATTACCTCCAAGAATTGGTATCACAAGTCATGAGCAACTAAGATTTAGAATATACAGATGGTATGAAAAGAATACATCATTTGTTTGAAATAATACATAAATAGATACATAAGACTCCTAGGCTACCATGAACAAATGGCACAAATTCTTTGGAACATGGAGGTCTTTAAAGCTCACCCTTGAACTCTGCAACATCTCATCTCTATAATTGCAAACAAGGTACAGAATTGTAGTATAAGTACAACCGACCTCATGTATTCATTAAGTATCAAAATTAACCTCAAAGAAGTGATGACGAGGCTTAGTCGAAAGATATTCACTTTATAAAACCTTTGCAGCTCATAAGAATATATAATAACAGCGATATAACCAAGAAACAACTAAAGAAATAACGACTATCAATAATAAAGGTGCACAATCGAAGAAAAAGTAAGAAGCATGCTTTTCCAATTAAACAAGTCAAAGCAAATACAATCACACCAATTTCGCATTCAAAAGAGATGCAGCAAGTACATTTACTCAAATACTTTTACATGAATATAGAGAGTCTATACATGATAAAGATCCAATTTCACATCAATTTCCAATAACATTTATATGAAAGCCTTTACATGAGTCCATTATGTCAATGTATAATGAATGCTCTCCTTTTACATTAATCTGACACCCTTTAATTGTCCAACAACTCACTAGCAAGTCATTTGCATATGTAAAATGTATCAACTAGTATATGCAGAAGATATGCGTCAATAAAGCATGAAAAATTCATGAATTCGCACAAAGAATTCACATCAATAAAATAAATCTTTCACATTTGTGCTCAAAACCTATCAATCGAATCCCATAACACAAACAAACCAAAAGTTCGTCGATTTTTTACAGTCTACATGTATGCCACCAAGAGAGAAACATTGTAACACCCCGAAAAAAATTCGGCTTAGGTATGAATGAGCTAAAGGAGTAGTAAGGATATATTTTGATCATGTGAAGTCCCATCGGGATGATTATGGGTGAAAATAGTTATTTCAAAATCGAGATGGAAAGTGAGGTGCATAAGATTTGACAAAATCGACTAAGTTTGCAGAAGGTTCGTCTTCCAGCAGGTTTTAGTGAACACGTGTAAGGAATTTGGGAAAACACAAAGCATGAAAGTTGTAGGCCTTTGAAATAGCTTTCCAACGAAGTGGAGCCCAAACGGAGCTCTGTGCAAAAAGTTATGCTCGTTTTACAGAGAGGTGTGCAACCACTGCGGTCTTGCCGCGTTTCACTGCAGTCTTGCCGCGTTTCACCGCGGCCGCGTTGGCGATGCAGTGTCTCAGCGATTTATCGCAGTCGGGATCGCGGTCACGCCAACCGGGACGCGGTGGACGACTTGGGAGATCATTTTTTAGCCTTATTTCGTTCCCTACAGCCCCAAAACATAAAAACTTGTCCTAGAAAGGAAAACTCTCAAAAACTTAACTCCTTAAATGTCACTTTACCACCCAAGGTAAGTTCTAATGGTGATTCTATGTTTATTTCAATTCCCCAACATCTTATTAACATGGGTAAACCCTCCATATCATTAGATATTCGATTGGGACATCATTGTTGAGAGAAGAAACCCTAGAACTCGAATTCAAGGAGATTGAACGTCAAAAAGGTAATATCTTCACCCTTTTATTGATTCTATTATTGAATTAATGATTATAGACTCTAGTTTATGAGATATGAGTTGATGGGTTTGAGAGAAAAACATGAACAGTGATAGATTTGGGTTATTGATTGGTTATGGGTGTTGATTACGTTATGGGTAATAAAGAATGATGTTGATTATAACCATTTGAGACTTTAGTATTTATCTAGAAACAAGAGAATGGGTTATTGGGTGTAGAGACACCGTTAATAAGGGCTATGAAGCTTTATGCCACCAAGTGTTTGATAAAATGCCTAAGTGACCAAAACATGAGTATTAATGCTAATATGGAATCCCTTTAACTTGTATTTATATAGATTGAAGTTGAAAGGGTTGGCGAATGTTATATTACGCTCAAGAACAGTAAGTTACGGTATGTGAGGCTAACTCTCTATGTTTGGGAATGTTAATGATTCTCCCTACATTACGTTTCTTTACGACATATCAATTGCCTCAGAAATATAGTTAAGCCTAGTTCCTTGAATAGTTGTAGAACTTCTATTCTTTACTTTCATTCTGAACGTTGTGAGCTCAGTTCGTATTCAATATAGGCTTGGTCTTGATGTCCCTAATAAGTCTCAGTATAGCTTATTCAGCATGTCATAAATAGTTGAAGTTTCAGTGTTCATAACCAGTTCAAGAATACATGTCTCATTCTAGTCCTATTCAGTATTCTAGTATTATGTAACTTAGTATGATTCAGTATTCCAGTATTATGTAACTCAGTATGATTCAGTATTCCAGTATAATGTAACTCAGTGTGATCCAGTATTCCAGTATCATATAACTCAGCGTGATTCAATATTTCACTATTAAATATTGCAGTATGATTCTCAGTTCCTGATTTTAAATCCCTGAATGTTGAACACCTATATTTGGGCCTGAGGCCGCAGCTAATGCTTTATGCATCTTTGGGCCTGAGGCCGCAGTTTATGTTTTATGCATCTTTGGGCCTGAGGCTGCAGTTTATTCTTTATGCATTTTGGACCTGAGGTCACAGTTATGTATACGTATACTTGGGCTCGAGGCCGCAGTTTGTGCATATATATATATATATATATATATATATTGGGCCTGAGACCGCAGTTTAATATTCAGATAAACAAGTTGTTCATCATTCAGAAGAGGGAGTATTCATATCCT